AGGAACTGGACTGCAAATGCCATTGATCAACACATCTAGTGGTAGACTCGCATTGGATTTCCTTCTGGAATCTATTTGACTGTCAAACGAGTAATCCGTCTATGCACTCATTTGCAGGACCCATAGGGTGTAGGTAGCCCTCATAGCATCCTATAGACTGGATCCCTTAGTTTGCTTGAATGCACAGTTCATGAAAAGGATGGCTTCTGAGATTTCCTTGTAGGATGAACCTGTGCCCCCCAAGCATAGCACGTAAGATATTGTCGGTAGAAACCTCGACAGAGCGCGTCATAAGGGTCTAGGTCTGTTTTGGCTGATTGACATCCACACCCGGAACGTTCCTGTTATGACGGCCTCGTCAAGCTGTACCATTTACAAGAAAGCCTTGGGACGACAGTAAGTTTATGTGGGGGATACCCTGACGATCACAGACACTTAATCTCCCTTCTCGTTCATTTCCTTTCTTATTACTCTTTTAAAACCAAATATTTCTTGGAATCCGCCGGTATTCGCGCTTTCTTCTTCATTTTTGCCTTATTCTGCACCATAACTTCCATTATTTCACCCGCTGGACCATCCTGCCAAAACCAAAACCAAAACGAAGTGCCTGCACTTGTCCCTCTCTCAAAACGTAGTATCGAAAAAGCGTAGTCGTCAGACCCCTCCTGGATTTTCTTTCGGCAAATAAAGTCAGCGAATCCATTTCGTCTAGAAGATTTACTCAATAGACCTAAAATACTGTGCAGAGTTAGGTGTAGTCTTCAGAGGTAATTATATGGTACCACTGAAGGTTGTTGTAATCTAAACTCCTCTATGTTAGAAAGATTGAATGATCAGGGTTATTGAGATCCTCTTATACCCTTCTATTTCAGAGGAAGTGTATTGAGTTCGCACTGAAAGCCAAACCACATCGTCGTTACATCCCAAGAAATCGCTTCCAATATCGCGTCTGGTAAGTCCTCTTCACAGGAGGTTCCCCTTTCTCTACCTGGAAAATCTAAATTCTGGCAATCTTTCTAAAACTCCCATTCCAGGTGGTTTGTGACATCCCGTGCTTTCGAGTACGTGATTTTTCTGATCATCGTCCTCAATACGGTCTCGTTAGCATGTAAGCATTATCCATCTGGACACCGATTTGAATACGTCCTCGACGTGCTGAACCTCGTGTTTACTGGAGTATTCGCATTCGAGGCTTTCTTCAAGATCATAGGTATGAATTTGATCATTTTGGAGTTTACAAAGTTATGGAAGGAAAGGGAATCGTGGACAAATGGGGCATCGTGTTAAAAAGTACGAATTTCGTGCCACTATAATTGAGCCACGGATTGAGAACGGACTGGCACCTCCTTTTCGCTTTTAGCGGAGCTGCCAGGGTTTTTTTCTTCAAAAATATTTTTTATTTATGACAAAATCGTTCAGAGATCGGAAAAATGTCCGTTTTCGCGGTTGGTAGAGGGATACCCGATGCTCGTACAGGCCTGTAAAGGAGGTTGTGGTATAGGAAATCAAGGTGTACGGCTCACATCCCATTCATTGACTCTTTCACCCCTTTCTTCCGTTCACTCAAGGGACATTGGGTAAATTACTTCAGCGCCCTTGAATATGCTAAACCCGAAGCTACCGTAAGGCCTTCAAACACGAACCGCACTGGGTGGGTCGGAGGGGGGGGCTGACCTGTAGTGAATGCTACATAGAACTTCGTCCGTTCGTTAGGAATAAAGCTGAAATACCTTTTTGTCATCCTCGTTCCCATTTGTTAAATATCTCATCCGACATTGTTTAGCATTAAATCCGAAAAACTACTTCGGTGACCGATGGAATGCGTTCGACTTCATCATCGTGCTTGGCTCATTCATTGACATCATTTACGGCAAACTTAGTCCGGGAGGTGAGTATTAATGCATAACATTAGCTACTTGGACCACCTGGGG